CAGTTCTTGAAGAATGTCATGTCTGGACTTCATTCCAGTACAATGCCACGTCAAGGACTAAAGGAGACATTGACACTGTAACATTATTACGCAAACGTGGGAAGGACGGTTCATACTGTGTCAACTAAACTACGTAATTATTCGGTCCTGTTTTATTCGATGGGATTGTCCTTTGTTGTGTATTTTTTTAATTCCCCAATTCGTTGCAGGTTCAGACAGCATTGATAGTAGCGTGGCCGGTGAGACGGAAGACTAGTCGCCGAACACCACATGGTGAAGAGATCTCACTAGCGTGTTCGACTTTGAAACTATCTCTCAAGTAAAGTGGAGCGTGGACGCTCCGTCTCGTTCTTTCTCACTTAGAGTTTTAAAGTGTTTAATTTTTATAAAGAAATCAGTATAACAAAAATGTACGCATACATTTTATAGATATAATAATGCCAGGAATGTTAATTAATATGAACATACAAAAAAAAAAAATCAATCAGCCGAACATAGTACCTCCTCCTTTTTTGAAGTCGGTAATAACATAATATCATAGATCTTAACAAATTATATTTTTTTTTAGTTATAACCGACTCCATGCCATTTTGTGTTAACTGGGCAATCTTTTATTTTTTTCATAAAATACTCTTATGGGATTGACATGAATAGAAAGATAGCACATCATTATTCAATACAGTGTTATGGAGGCGTCAGATGGGATATCATTCATCAATAAATTTATGGTTGACTATTTCCCATAATTGCCGGTGTATCTTTTTTAATTGATACAAACGTCATTCTTGTAATTATGGCTAAGTTTAAAATTTCATAACCATAGATTTTTATAATTCTTACACTTATAGACAAAGGTCAGTGTCGCTTTATCGGCTATTAGTCGACTACTGCTGAACATAGGCTTGTCCCAATGACTTTCATACTTTGTGCTGTGTATCATTCGACCTTATGACCCCTATCATTAAGTAGAAAATACTTTGTAATTCAAGCACTATTCTAGAAAACTAAAAAACCTATAAGAAATATTTCTTTCGTACCTAAACAAAGAGTATGAACACCGACATAATTAAGGGTCATACGAGCCTTTAGCATTAAAAATATTGTCCACCTATGATCAAGTGCACCGCCAACCAATTACCCACTCAATTATAACGTACTTAAGCCTCTAATTAACTTAACACTGAATGCAACTGTTTTATTCTCTTTATTAAAATTATAGCGTATAAGTTTGAGAAGCCCTGTAATAATAAAATGTAAACTACCATACTCACTGTTTCTTTTTAATCTCACCCGGTTTTAAAATGGGGCTGATATTTATATTAATGTTTCTCGCCATTCAGGTCTTTTAACGAGCAAGCTCTTTCAATGTAACTGTTAAGGTTTTTTACGCGTATTATATTGATGATGATCTATTTTGTCTGATTGTTTGTGTTTGTATGGTGTTTGTGGTTTTGGTATATTAATGTTCTGTGGGAGGAAGGCCAATCAATGAGATTATTTATGTGTATAAAAACATACACAAAATCTGTTTTTTTTAATGTTATAGGACGGCAAATGTCTTGAGGCAATTGAAGGAAGTGGGCATCCATTACCATGGAGGACCGGCCTTGTGGAGGATAAGGTTTTGAAGATTTAAGGATTAGGAACGGATTGGGTGACGGACAGGATTGGGCCTCCGGTAACCTCATTATACGGCGAATCACAAGATGTGGTTGTGTCACGTCGGTAAGGCCATAGTATCATTTCTGTCAAGCCGACAACTCATTCGTGTCGAACCACGGCTCTCCTGTAGTAATAAATATTCTTACTTTTTACTTAAAAATTACAATGTTAAACGTTTATAACAAAATTAAGAAGAAGGGTTGGCTTGAGGTAGCGTCCCTAACGTATAGTTGTTTTCATGTCGCCCCATGGAAGAGGTTTACAAAAAGCCTTTTAATAAGCCAATGATGACGATGACATGAGCTTCTCCTTGATTGATAAGCTGCCTTTTCAATGAATTAATTATTAAATAATAGTCCTTCGTCTTAATTATTTTTCGAAAAAGAGCATGTATTTTTTTTATCTTTAAATAAAATTAATATATCATGTAATTTTAGGCTATTAGTAAATTAATATGAGTTTAAAGTTGTTATAAGGCCGTTACTTTAACCTATATAATAGACCACTATATTGAATGTGTATGATTTATGTTGCAGTTTGCCTTCAAAAGGCTAAAAAACTAATCGACTCGTCTTCATAACATCGTGTGATGTTCTATATTATATATGAATATATCACACACATTGTAAATTCCGTTCTTTAATTATTGTCAAGGTGAACCTATAAGCTTATTTTTTAGAATAGAATAGACTATTTTTATTTGTAAGACATAGGTATTGACAAGGTATTGACATCTTCGGTTTATATAATACTAGCTCTTACCCACGGCGTCGCTCCCGTCATTTGTCTACCTACCCTACCCTACTCTGCTTACCCTACTTTACCTAACCCACTCTATCTAGTCTATCCTATCCCATGCCCTTCTCCTAGTTCATAGGTTTTAGGTTAAGCGGTCCTACAATTTATATGATATAATTTTTCATATTATATTGTGCAGGTGTGGACATTTTTTGGCATAAGATATTTTAAAAACAGGGCGATATCTAAAATGTCAAAAAATGGAAAAGTTTATGTTTTTGAATATATGGGAAGCAACTGTTTGATTTTATATGGTTAAATATTTATTACATTTTTTAATTTTTGTTTCATTGAAAACTTTAAGAGAGTTGGATTTCATAAAAAGCTCACATCATCATACTGACTGACCTAGGTATGTATAATACATGTTATGTACCGCGGCCCCACTCCAGCACGGAGAAAGAAGGAATAGGGTGGTTTTTAGTCAGTGAGAGTCTGTCTGATCCCGGGAGAAGTCACTTGAGAATTAAATACAATTTGCGTAGTTCATTATGATAAATGATAGATTTAGGCTAATATTACAATGAGGTAAAATTTGTAAGTTTGTATATAGGGGGTAATCTTTGGAATCGCTGGTCAGTTTGCCAAAATTCTTTCACTGATAGATAGTTTCAATGGTTCTGAGTGCTATAGGCTATGAAATATCACGCTACGATTAAATGGAGCCAAGCAGCGGGTGAAACCGCGCGAGAGTAGCTAGTTACTGATAAATTTATTTATTAATTATTTAGGAAACAAACATTCTCTTACAAACGAATGATTACAATATAATTAACACGTACAGACTTTAAGTTCCATAACGTAATATTGTAATAGAATGCTGGCACCAATTTCAAATATGTAGAATATCAAATAGTAACATAAACATAAGAATACACAACTCATTGTGACTACAAGAAAAAAGTCCCAATAAAAACATACTTACCTAATAAATATGGGTTTACAAAGTGACTTTTATTGCTGAAACTGACAATATTCGTTTTTTATTTTAGATTTATATACTTGTAAACTATAGTCAGACTTTTAATTCGATTCCTGATTTGACATGACCTATTGTCATTTTGTGAAATAATGATACCACATATAACAATGTAGTGATGAACACAAAAATCGATAAACAATCAGTGAATCAGTTTCAGGAAGGCATTCAAAAAATTACGGCTACCGAATGGTCTAAATGTCTATCCCATGTTTTCAAAGAAGAGGAAAAAATGAGTAAGCTAGATATGTTAATTGACAATAAATATCAAAGACACAATTCATAATAATTGTTACATGGAGTAACGGCGATAGCGATAGCGATGACGGCGACAATTTATAAAATGTCTGTTTTATTTGTCACGTTCCTTCATGATCACATTTTTTATTAATTTCACACACAATTACAAAAGAAAAGTCTCAGATCGTTAATTAATTGTCAAAACTAAATTATCGGTTCAGAAATATTTTATTTCCTGATAAACTTAGTTTACGAGAGTAAATTTATAAACGAGAGGAATCGATTCAGAAAAAATCGATTTCCACATCGAATGATTTCGCAACGTCACTATTTATTACGTGTCATAACGTTGCAACACTGAAATTGTCAAATCTGGAATGGAATTAAAAGTCCCAGTATAGTATTAAATATGTCTAGGTCATAAAACTCTGTATTGTAGGTGCTAACACTGCGTCTGAAAAAGTTGTTACCAGTATATATCTTCAATAATATAAATAAATAAAAAGCTTTTTTTTATTTATACCTATTTTAGACAAATTACTGAAATTGAACTCAAGGATGATGATGTATCCGTCTCGAAGCTATAGAAGGAACGAGGTGACTTGGATCAGTAAAAGGAGAGCCAGACTGGCTCTCCTTCTAGCTCAGCATGGGAGAAGTTATTTGATCAAAGAAACTGTACCTAATGTTAAATTTTATTAGGTATCTTTCAATACTATCCAGGTAAATTTATATAAAGATAGTGTTATTTTACGTATATTGAATAAACATATTAATTTACGTATTTTTATTATATTTTAATTGTTACCAGGAACTTTTTTGTCTTCGTAGCTATCATTAAGTTTTAGTTCATAGTTCCGTTTATCTATTGGCACGTTTTCTAATAGACATTAAGAATCTGTCCTCGAAGGCGATATCTTTGTGTTATGTTTTGTAAATCAGGGTAGAAATATCCTTTTAGATATTTTTTTCTGTCATTCGTCTGATGCCAACAAGCACGGATACTCATCGTCAACCTACAGGTCATGTATTATCAAGTTTGAATAAAAAGTTATAGGAAATTCGTCAATGAAATACACCTTTGCTTATTTCTTCCATTAGTGTTTGCCTTTGGTCATTAGGTTTAGGTCGCTGAAGCTTAAAAACCGGTGAGTATTATGATTTTATTAAATCTGTAGCTTCACTTCTTTTTATTATTTAGTATCACACAATATTGATTGAAATTGTCATAATGAAATCGACCACAGTACATTTTTTATTAGTTAAACATTTATTTAAAACATTGAAACTTAAAAATAAAATATTTTTCTGGGTTTGATATCTTTATTTCTTTATATAAGTAAGTGATACAGCCAATTTGCATTTGCTAAATTAGTATCTATGAACATTTTTTTCTTATCATTTTCCTAACAATGAAGCAACTACACCGGTTGGAAGATTCACTGGTACTGGCTTAAGACCAACATCAATGTCGATTGCCTGAAAAGAAAAGGAATATTTTATTGACATGATATCTTGTCATTAATAGAAAATTATGTTAAATATTTCCTAAATTCCTAAAAGAAATTAACACATAACTACAAAAATATTAGATGACTTACTAAAGTGATAAAAGATAATTTAAAATAAAGAATAATATTTAATTGTCGTTATTAACTTATATTTATTATTCTATAATACTACTTTTATAGCCCAATCTTTATTCATATCCTAAATCCCTAATTCCCTATCCTGAAATCCAAAATAAACCTCAAAATTGCCTGCAACGCAATCTATGGTATAACGAATGTACATGCGCAGTGCCGATTTCCTACCATCAGTCTGTTCGTTTGCCGACCTTTTCTATAAAAACCCTATGCTTATGATGATATGCTTCAATTAATTTAAGGTCGGTAAAGATTTATTTACATCTACACCTAACCTAACTAGCATAATATACCAAAGCTATTTCCTATTTTCATAAAACATAATTATGTATATCTCGGTATGGGTCTAAAAAATTGTCTACAAAGTATTATGAAAGTCCTTCCAAGAAAACATTATTTCAGTAAATTGATTTTACATTTCTTATTATAGACGTTGACTTTTTATTTATTTATTGTACTTTATTAAATGACGTCACTCCTAGATACATTCTAGTAGTAGTCTACACTAAGGAATAGTGCGGGTTTCGAGGTAGACACAATAAGGAACCGCGGCCTAGGCCTGGAGCAGGAGAAGGAATGGAGGAATTTAGTCAGTAAGTGTCTGACTCTCCGTTTCGCCTCATTCTGGGTGTGCAATTGACTTCTCATTTGATGAAATAAATTGTCTGATATCCTTCCAGATATGATAAGATGAATTATCTCTTTAATTATTATGTAATTCTGTTATGAGGTACCATGTCTGCAAAGTGAGTGTGTGTGACTATGTGATATGGTTTATTTGAATGGGATATTTCGTCATTTGTTCACCATTGCTATTACTGTGTTTGTTTAGGAGCAGTAGCCATAAATATTCGATATAGTCTATTTTAGTAAGTTATTAATATTATATAATGATTATTAGGTAAGTACTTACTAAAATTACTATAATTGTGTAAGAAATAAATAAAATTCTTTCGTTGCTTTGGTATGACTTTAATTTATTTTACATAAGTTTATTTTCCGCCATAGGAATTTGGAATTAAAATTGTATGTTTATAATTTATTTTATCCTAACAATGAAGCTACTGCAGCAGGTGAAAGACCAGAGGAAGATAGCACACTAATCATGATCGGCTGAAACAAAAATGTAAAGTCAATGTTTGTATGTATAACATTTTTGACTGTGTTCGATTTAAGAACAAATAGTATAGATCGATCTGTTGTGATTGATGCATAATATGTATTCTACAAGAATCCTCGGGTGTAAAATTAAAGGTTACATTTTTGTCTATTGCAAGATTATTAATGTAAGTAACAATTAACGAATCGCACATAAAAGTAACACGATAGTTGACAGTAAGTCAAGTATGACTGCCAAATTTTTTATAAAAATATTAAAAGCGACACTGTTTATAATATTTGAGATCACATATTTTGACATCATTATATTAATATTTGCGTACAAGACTATAGGCACTTAGTGTATCTAAAATATTGTGTCAAAAACTTAAAAAAGAAGAAAACCAATTTCGTATAATATATTTATTCCACTCGTAGTAGTTTTTTTCGTCTTGTATCATTCTATCTATTAAAACAACCGCTTGAAATACTGTCCCGCAGTTTAAAAGATCAAAGTGTACATAGAGACAGACAGCTGTGTGTATTAGACTAGGTAGTGACTACACTAGACCAATAAGCTAATAGATTAGATGATTTAGACCTTTGTTAAAGCTCAATTAAGGAAAGATGGCCACCGAATAACTTGAATAGTTTGGTAATTAAACTGTGATTCCTTAACCACTTGTCATTATGGAAAAAATGGAGAACGCGGTGGAAATGTCTCCTTATAAGACTATTATCTAACACTATTACGTCCTCTGATTACGGTAGATTTTAGAAAAAGAAATGTCAACTTGTGAAAAAATGTGAAATAGAACGTTAGATATTGGCGTATCGTAGTAGGTATACTGTTTATATTTTTAAATTTGAATGTTTAACTAAAGGCTGTACTTACCAAAAAGGATTAAGGTATATAATAAATAGGTTAGTTTTAAGTAGTTATTATACCACTTTTTATTTCGCACTCAAGTTACAGCAAACACCGCTAATCAGCTTATTTGTTCACTGCAAGGTGCCTAAAGTAAATATTTGATCGCTACTAGTAGTGTTGTCATATATTACGTATGCTAGCCTCAATTACGATATTTTTTTCTTCGACACAGAGAAAAATATTTAATTTAGAAAAGTGTCATCACGCCAATTTTTGGAAGCTTTTCTATCTACAGAATTATGTGTATAGGTTACCTAGATGATAATTTGAAACGGTAAATTAGTTACTTAGTTCCAATTTGAGAAAGTACTCAATATTTTCATAAAAATTGTCTAAAATAAACTTTATTGGTATTTACCAATAAAGTTAATTTTTGTGTATAAAACATAAATATGTTTAACATTATAATTATTACAGATAGAGGTACTTACGCATTTATAATATTCTGTGTATAATATGATAAACGAAAACCGTTATTTAATTAAAATTTAAATAAAATACGAGTACCTAAAATTCATGTTTATTTCTAGCAGTGACACGAAATGACAAGATTTGCAGCCGACAGAAATATGAAATCAAAATATAATCGAGAAGGTACTAAAACCGGAAAACATTTTAAGTAAGTAGTAATGATTCATATATAGGGATATTATTATATAAGGTAGACATGAACAAGTAGTTTAGAATAATTTTATGAATGTACAATTTTATAAACTGAGTTTAATTAAATTCTATATTTTTTTGGGAATCTACATTACTTTATCCTAGGAGCGTAGCCGTCACACTCGGAGGAAGAATCCGATTCTGGAAAAAGAAATAATAAAGAGATACTAATACAATTCATATGCATTTACACCTTATGTTAATAAGTCCAGAAGTGATAGATTATGATTAGATATGCTAATTAAGCAAAAACATTTTATTTAATTAAAATAACATAATAAAATGAAAAGTTCTCATCTTAATCCACTTTAGTCTACAAATTGCTAAATAAATTTTAATGGAAATCAGCATTGAATTGAGGGACTAAGCACTGATTTTTATGTTTTGTAAACTATTCTACACAAACGTACCTAGGTACTTAATACCTTCTGGTATTCTCTACCAGTTAACCTTTGTTTCAAAGAAGACTGTTGTGTTTAAAATTACATGTAAATTGAAATGTATCCTAAAACAACGTAGCACCTAGTAATAGATGTGGAAGAGAAAAAAAATGACTAAATTAGTTTTGTACTCACTTGCAATAAAGTAATAAACTTTAAGCAAAATTATATAAAAAAAAAAACAAATTTATATTATCTATCAATAGGTAATAAAGCATCGTGCTAGTCTGACCTGTTTATTACCGGTTTAAGATAAAAATATATCCTAGAAAATATTTAATAATATATATAGTTACAAAGTTCAAGGTCTATGTCACTCACGTCTAGTGACCTACAGACTACCCGAATACCTGATATTAATATACCCGATAAACGAGATTTACGTGTCTTAAAAATACCTACTAATAATTCTAACAGCTATTTGTGAAGATGTGTTTTTAACCCTTTCACTCAAAAACTACTGAACAGATTCAAATGAAATTTAGCATAGTCTGTAACATGTATAGTTTTTACTTAACTTTGTGTTATTAAAATCCTAATCCTTCGTATTTCTAAGTTATTAAAACAAATCTCTACACTTGAGGATTTTAAAATTGATACGAACGGTAAAAAATAAGTTTTTTTGTATATATAAAACTAGATATGGCAAGTATTTTATATTTTAAGGCCGACAACTTATAAAAAATACGTAAACAAAATCTTCTATACATACTGTGTTAGATCCTTTGTTGCTACTACTATCGTATAACAACTTTTAAATTGTTTTCACTTCCATTAACTACACGTTTTTATGCCAAGCTAAACATTTATAAAATTCAATAATATTGCGATTTAAAGCGCAGTCAACTTTGATAAGCCCAAGTAACTTTTTATGTGTACAATAAGAAGTGTACACTACAAATCAATTCTCTTTTTAAATAATAAAAATATTGATTAACTTACTCCCTTTTCTTGAATGTGGTAGCCATCTTGGTCAGCACTGTAAATGACAGTGACAACTTTTCCCTCAGTATCTATGTAAGAATACGATCCTTGAACTCGAATAAATTCGTCTTCTTGTCCTTGGTTGATCAAAAAGCCCGTTTCTTCGCGTTTCAAGCCATTGGATGTTTCGAACCTGCAATAATTTTCCATACATTTGTAGCGTACAATGTATTTTATTTCTCGAAATGATTGGCAAAAGTACATTTGTGAAATGTATGTATATCTTATATTATCGTAATACTAACACTGCAAGCCCATCGACATAGTACAATATCTTGAACAAACACGTTTTTGGCTGGTAAATACAAAAATATATATTATTATTTTAAGTCTTAGACAAAATCAGGGAAGTGCTTAAATGCTTTAACTCTGATCAATGTTTCATTAACTATATAATATTGTACGAGTAATTTTAAAAACAAAACGATCAGGCATGCGTTCAATAATGTTTAGTTTATCTATTTCAAAAAGGAAAATCCATAATAACTATAAAGATCTACGTACCTGAAGTTGTAATTGCCAGTACCGTCATTGTTATTCACATAGTTCACTATTTGAGCTTGAGCATCCTCAGGAAGAACAGCTGCCGCAGCAACTGACAGAACTGCGCACGCGATGATTATCCGATTCATTTTGAATATTTTTTCAACACAATAAGAACAAGACGCTAGCTTATTATACCACAAGGCCAGTAAGCTTCAATTTAAATATACCTTGAAAAGTAATTATAAAAACTTCAGAATATCTCGATTTTTACCCGCGCTTACAAACAACAAATGGCTCAAATCTTAACCATCCTCTGTATTATATACTTCTCTGAAGAAATAATAACAGCCACGAACCATAATTATAGTTTCTTGTCTAAATTTAAATGTTGCACACATATTTTTATGTAAATTTTATTGATTGATAAGCGATTTTAATTGCTTACCTTGTTTATTTAAATGATAAATGTATTGTGAGCAGTACTGTCCATAATTTGCAATTAAAGTTAAAGAAAATTTCCTTAATTATGTCGAATAAATTAACAAAGAGTCACATCAAACAAATCTGGTTTTTAATGAATGTTTTATATTAATGTTGTGTTTTCTATATATCTCTTTAGATATTTTATAAGCAGCTATTTATCTTTTGTACCTATATTGTTGGTAAAAACACTTAGAAGGGAATAAAAAAATTTTTTTTTCGAGTACTAATTGTATTTAGGTATTGCAAGCAATCCATACTAAATCTTAGCTCTAACCATCATATTATGCTAAATTAAACGGTTATTTATTCCCTACGAAGACAAAATTTAGTCCTGACTGCTGAATGCAAAATTTTATACAAAAGTTCCAATAAGCATAATAATATGTTTATTATGTTTAATGTAAATATGTTGACTGCACGGTTGGTGCGGTGGCTGGGCAACTGGCTACCGTGCAACGTGTCGCGGGTTCGATTCCCGCACGGAACAACTCTTTGTGTGAACCACAACTTGTTGTTCCGGGTCTGGGTGTCTTGTGTGTGTGAAATTGTATGTTTGTAACAGCACTCACGACACAAGAGAAAATCCTAATGTGGGGCAACGTTTTTTTTGAAGAAAAAAAAATGTATATTATGTTTTATATATATATTATGTTTCATTTATAAAGCTCATAAATTGTATATTTATTTTAGTCTATTTTGGATATGGTCTCCAGAAACGGTTCTTCGTATTGGATAAGCATTATTTTATCGTTATCCTAATAACGTAGCTACAGCTGCAGGTGGAAGGCCTATAATTGGTACCTGAAACAAACAGATTCATAGGTCAGACCTGAGTGGCTTGTCGGCTGAACGTTGTTAGTCTACATGCATTTCGTTTTTAAGTGTGTGAGAACCATGCTTCGGGAAGGTTAGGCTGGTGTGATATCAGCCTTACAGAAAATCACCCTCATCCTCAAGTAGCTTTTAATTGGTTTTATAAAAACTACCGTGAGCAACTAAATTAACTAAAATTCGCGCTGCCTACTGACTGAGTGCTACTGCAGGCTGCGCGACGTCGCCGCGTCCGCGCACGCTGCTCATGAGGAAGAACCCCTCTGTGGTTCGAAACTAGTAGAGCTTTTCTCAATTTATACACGTGAGTAACCCGCGATTTTTAGTTAATTTACCTTTTAATTGTTGAAAAGTTTCAAAAGCTGTCCAGTTTTAAAAAACTTTAAAAGGAAATGGTTGAGTCAGGATATTCTCGTTTTAGCGGAAGAAGTTGCTTCCTCGTTGCTTCTACGACCGATGTTGGATCTACTTTTGTTATACTCTAGTTTCATAAAAGGAGACGTTTTTTCTGTCAGCATAGCCTTAACTATCGCTGGCAGAGAGAGGTAGCGCCCGATCCTTGCAACCGATCAGCCGTTTAAAGGTCCATGCTGGGCACTCTTCAGGTAATGTAGGCTGGACCGCACGATGGGCCATGCTACAAACCGCGTGTGCGTAACCAAGGTGAGTGCTAAGTGCTTTTGACTTTGAAATATTACTTTTGAAGTATAAATAAAATAATGTACTTACTTCTTTAGCTTCGATGTGGTAGCCGTCTTTGTCAGCCCTGTACCTGACGTAGACGGTTTGATCATTGGTGTCTATGTAAGAGTATGATCCATAAACCACTATGTATTGGTCTTCCTGTCCCTGGTTGACTACGCTACCGGTTTCTTCCCGTGTTAAGCCATTGGAGGTCCTGAACCTGTAAAAAATTGCATTTATCCAGTAATTTTCTACAAACGATTAAAAAATACTATTATTCGTCTCTTTACTGCATAAATTTCTTCACTATACCAGATGCTGCTAAGAAAAACATATAAATAAAATATTGAAAGAGTACCTACGCAAAGTTATAATTGCCAGATCCGTCATTATTATTAACGTAGTTTACTATTTGGGCTTGAAGATCCTCAGGAAGGACTCGTGCTGTGGCAACTGATAAAACTGCGAACGCGATGATTATCCGAATCATTTTAAAAATATTAAACTCGCTAATAGCAAACACGACACTAGACCTATTATTGGCACCGCAAGGTCAAAATACAAATTCAATTGAAAATTACTATAAAAACTTCAATATGTTTGGATTTTTATGCTCACAAACTACAAATGACTTAAAGCATAAACCTCCACAATGTTATATACCGTTCTGAATGGATAATCCCAGCCAACAAACATACCTACTTATAGTTTTTTTTTTCGAGTTCAAATATTTCAATCACCGTAGCATCAATATTTTTTTACAGTTTTTTATTATTATTATGGTGTGAAAGCTTCATTTTTTGCAATCACTGCAGGAAGATATGACTAATTAAAAGTAATTAATTTAGTAACTTAATATTCTTAAAACACGAACATTTCAGGTTGTTGTTTTGTGCTAAAGGATTAAACATTTTAATTTATGATTTATATTTGGCTTAACCGGAGTGTACAGCGGCCTCACAGTATACTAACGTAAAACAACCACAGCGCTGTGTTCCGTCGTGAAAATTAGTTTATCGAAGACCTAATCCTCACCTTCTTCTTTTCTCCAATTCCTTAATCTTACGATTCTCAAATGCTCGCACGCACGCTCGCACTCCTCTGATGTTGCGGGGTTGTTCAAAGGTGGTGATCCGATTACCATAAAATGATAATCAGCCAAATGATATTTTACATGTGAGAGAGGTGTGCCTCGGCACTAATGGGTTGGCTCGTAAGTAATATTACGGCACATAAAACCAGCGTGAAACAGTGAAACAACGACAGCGTTGTGTTTCGCCGTGTGAATGAAGTTACCGGAGGCCCAATCCCTAATCCACAAAAGGTTGAAAACGCACTCGTAACTCCTGCGTATTATAAGGTACGATGGGACTGAGATGTACTTGGTTTAAAAGTTTCAAAAAAAATGAAGAGAAAAACAACTCTTGCGTTATTGCGGGTGTCCATGGGCGACGCCGATTGATTTAATCAAATACTAACCGACTAAATGTAGACGGTTTCTGAGATTATTATGCATGCATTTGCAACCCTGGCAATGGTTTATAGACTGCATTTTCCTTGCATGTTCAAAATTTTCTTCTTTGGAGCCGTTTCGGAAAACAATTAAAAATACACATACCATTTCAAAAAAAAAACGTTGAATATAAACATTACACCTTAATACAATTTAATGCAAATTAAATTGGAAATAAATATTTAATTTAATGATAATTTTATTATTTATATATATACCCATAAAATAATAGTAATAGAAACAGTCCGACAGTGTGCGTATTTAATTAAAAAAAAATTAACCATACATTCAAAAATATATTAAAAAATAAATTACGTATTGTTCAAGTAGTATATAAAAAAGTATTTTAATATATTTGATTACGATATCCAGGCTTTCGTTTCAACCATATTTTTTTAATATTATCCTAATAATGAAGCAACTGCTGCAGATGGAAGACCTGGTGAGATGGGTGAAATTATTGGCGGCAACACAACGTTTTTCTGAAACAAACAGGAATAAATTCGAATATTAATACATAATTGGATCAAACTTGAATGGCTGCGAGCTGTGAGTCAGCGCGCATGCTGATTATAATTTTGAGACCTTATCTATTCTAGGTATCTTAAAAATTGGAATTTTTAAAAGTATCTTAAGCAATTACAAGTTTCTGCTCAGTTTTTTTGTATGGTATTTAAACTAATCTGCAGTCTACTAAGTTAGTAGAGTTCTCTCGTCGACTTTAATACTGGTTGTTTCCAATTAGTAACTTCTATTGTCCCAGTGTTGTCGTCATGTTTTACGTATTAAAGCTTAAATTACTGTAAACTTACCTCGAGGTTCAGAATATATTTCATGTACTTAAAGTTAGGTTACTACAGGAGTAATATGTAACCGAATGATATTTTATGCTATCTACAATTTTAATTAAAGTGCCTTTAAAAGCAAAAGCATCTTTAACATTTTTTTTTATAATAATACTTTATTACATCGTAGGTGTATTCTCTCAAACTCGAGGATGTTAGAATTTGAGCATTGCGTTCCGCGCGCGCCTCATAGATACTTTAGACCACCACAGACGGGGTGGTATAGGGTTGATGTTTAGCCGGGGTTGCGGGGTAAGCGCAATCAGGTACCGAGGCTTCGGACCAGAGTAGGAGAAGGTACAGGGTTTTTAGTCAGTAAGAGTCTGTCACTCCCTCCCGCCTGACCGTGGGCGCGAGAAACATTTGATGATTTTCCCCTCACATAAAAAAATGATAATTAAGAAAATTTGGATGAGGGTTGGAACACCTTAATATAAGGTAAATAATAACAAGATGTCTCTTACTTCTTCATTATCGATGTGATAACCGTCTTTATCAACACTATACTTGACTTTGACGGTTTGACCATTTGTATCTATATAAGAGTACGATCCATGAACTTCAATGTATTGGTCTTCTTGTCCGGGGTTGACCACGCTACCAGTTTCTTCACGTGTTATGCCATTGGAAGTCTCAAACCTGTAAGTAAGTGAGGTGTTAGTATTGACTGTCTTATTTTTTTATAGTAGCGGGTTAGAGGTTCCTTGATTGATTAATTTGTACCATAGATTCTAAAGTAATTAAAAACAGGTATGAAGATTCCTGAAATTGTATTACAAAGAAGTTTACACATTTTCGTATTGGTAGTATTGGTAGAGTGCAATTGCACTTTTGACCCTACGCCGTAGATACACTCTTTTCTCACAAGAGATTGAAAAAATAGACCAGGTATTGAAATATAAAACTGTATATTTCTAGTCTTAGAGATTCCTCACCTGAAGTTATAATTGCCAGTTCCGTCATTATTATTAACGTAGTCCACTATTGTAGCTTGAGCATCATCAGGGAGGACGGCTGCCGTAGCTACCGACAAAACTGCACATCCGATGATAACTCGATTAAATTTGTACATTTTTGAAACTAGTAGTACTAACTATTCTTGTTTAGTAATTAGCCTGAAAGATACGAAGTTGGTTGAAAATAACGACTTACTTGAATTAATTGAGAAAAGCTCTACTAGTTTCAAGTGACAACGGGACTCTTATTCATGAGCGTGCGTCGTTTGTACGTCGCGGTGACGTCACGTAGCCCACTGAGTTAGTATAATTAGTAGAGCTTTTCCCAGTTAGTTAACTTAAGTCGTTATTTTCAGTAAAAATATTATTAAACTAGGTACGAAGACAAGTTACAAACAACTGAATTATGATAACTTTAAAATATTAAGACTCTTATTTCACATACAAACTATAAATGACATAAATCATAAGCCTCCTCGGCATTATATATGTACCTCTCAGAAGAAATAATAACAGCTACGAAACGTTATTAAACTTAGTTTTTTTATAAGATTAAATATTAAATACACATTAGTATTATATTTCGTGATCAATAAGTGCATTGGATTTAGTTTCTGTTTCGTTACCTGATTACTAAACTATGAATTTAGAAATATACTTCACCCAAAGTCGAGTTTGTCTGAGTTTAAGTTCAGCGAAAGATTTCTAAAATGGCATTGTATTAAATAGGCAAAGTCAAATCAAATAGGTAATCATATGATAAGCAAATTGTACTTAGTTATATTTTTGAAACCAAATAATGTACTTAATATGCTTATGTAGATAATCGCAATTGGTTAAAAATTCGTTTAAAAAATATATATATATCCATTTATTTTCATATTACTAGTACTCAAAACACCTAAGAAGGGTTAGGTTTTAAATATTTACGAATATAATACATTATCAACATTGATGCTTTTCCTGTGAGGACATCCCTATCCAACTTGATATGAGTAATATAGAATAATTAACGCCACCTGCTAACTCACACAATGGCACAGGTAATCTAATAAACAAAATTAAAAATAGGTAATATAAATTAAGTTTCATCCCAAAATACTTCCTGGCTTTAAGGAGTCGGTACATAGATTTTTATTTTTTCCGAACTGCTATATCTTAAGCTTAATCGAGGTTAAATCAATCTAAAAGGAGGAAGGCACTTTAAAGGTTAATTAAAAAAAGTAATGTGTATTCGCCTTAACAAAGAACATATTAGATGAGCAGTATTGCTTATACTTTACTTGTAAGTGTTTATTGAAATGTAACTCAATTTGACCTTGTAAGAGTCAAAAGAAAGCCGGTACTTATAATTTTAATGAGATCCACGAATAGATTTCATAACACCTTGAGTTTTTATGAAGTCAAAAGAGTAAAATGAAGCTCCTTTTTTTGTTTGGTACATATTGTGTAATTGTATATAAAATAGGCCTAAAAATCCAGCCATCTTCAGCCACCATACGGCGAGCAAGGGCATCTCGCCGCCCGACAAGAACCATAACGGTCCGTGCGCTCCTGAAAGAGCCAATAGACCACCACGCATTGCGCCTACATGGCTAATGCTTAGCATAGGTCGCGGGTCAAGCGCAATAAGGTACCGTGGCCATGGCCTGGAGCAGGAAAAGAAAACAGGGTTTTTCAGTCAGTAAAAGTCTAACACCCCCTCTCTCCATACTCTAGGCAAGAGAAGTCATTTGATGATTTTCCATTCACAAATAGGCCATATAATAGTCAAAGTCAAAGTCAAAATCATTTATTTCAATTAGACTTATACAGGCACTTTTGAACGTCAACACAACTTTAAAGATACAAAGTGTCAGTCTGTCGGTCAGTCCTCTTAGTGAAGCTATTCGCTCGTTCCAAAGTGTAGATTCCGATGGAGAAGAACGAGCAAGAAACTCCATGGTTACTCTTTTAAAATCAGTGTCACATGAACATTCTTTGATACATTATTTAGTTGGTTTGAATATGTGAGAACAGTGTAACGCGTATATACAGAGAAACATAAAAAGAAAATAACCTTAAGGACAATAGACAGTCCGGAGCTGACCGGTCCCAATTGACGGCACCCGTTCACGAGCATGACACGTACACCAGCATTGCCCAACTCAACCATAATATAGGGAATCGAGCGATCCAGTAACCGTGCCACCGCCAATGTTACCTTTGAATGAGCATAGTCATAAATATTGTTAACAATGTAAGACTTGGTCTGATATTTGTAAAAATTCCTTTAACTCGCTTATTCAGTGATTAAGCCTAAAGCTTATGTTCAGTTGCAGTACTTGCAATCGTAGTCGAGTGAGTAGCCAAACGGATAAGAAATTAACACGGTCATAAGAAACAGCTACTCAAAACGTATTAAAGTCACAAATACATTACATAAGAGTATCATTTTAAAGTTCAAGTGTCATTGTTTAGCGTGATGTCCAACAATTGATTTATGATGTGTCGCATAATAATGTTGAAACCGTGTATCTTATTGTCGAGTTTAGTGCGGCAAAGATTTCAATAGTTATGTAAGTTGACAGATGGGATGTCAGACCAAAGGTAACTGGCCCGCCGTGAATACGTCCCATGATTAGATTACGCGCCGGTATTGCACACGCCTTGGTTCGTAAAGGGTATCAATTATATTAGATATTTACAACAATTTGTACTGTCTGCATATTTTCTAAGCTTCGATGTTCAATCTGCAATGTCATTATGTTTTTGTGTTAATACTAAGTGCATAGGTCATTCACACTTTGATTATGATTGCGATCGATACAAATTATTGTATTGAACTTACAGAGTAATTTGTCATTATGTAATTTCAGGATTTTGAAATTATATTTTGCCAATAGTGTTTTTGTGAAAACAGTTTGTTATATTTGAGGTTGGTTGGTGGGTATTGGATGTAGATTTTCGACTGCTTAGTGGACTACGTGGTATCGAAGGTATATTAGCTATTTTTTTTTGTATTAGTAAGTAGAAAGTTTTAAGTTACAAAATAACCATATACACATAAAAATACAATATTATCATTTTTCCTGAAAACTGATACATTCTTAGTAGGAGTTTAGTAATTTAAAGCTATTAAAAATATTACATCACGCAGTTGACAAAATCTAATGCAAGTTAGTAAATATATTCATAAACCGGTATCGTTTCATTTGCTTCCATCTATCGGCTTGACTGTGAAGTAACGCCAGCGTTGATCAAGCGTCATTCAACAGCGGTGTACATTCTCTTTGTTTATCGATTTTTAAGATGTTACAATATCTTACACGTCCTTTATTTTGTAGCGAGTATTGGCGACTTTGTATAGATGGCGCTGATTTTTATATTTGAAGACTACGATTTTTATACATAGTCACATATTGATTTTGTTCAAGACTTTTTTTATTTGTAATCTTTTATGGTATAGGCGCATATACCTATATTAATTACATAACTATATTCTTAATGTGGTAGTAGACCCTTGTGTGTTTTTTATAATTTGTTGAAGAGATTTATGAACTTCAAATACAGTAAAAGTTTGTCTTTACACCTATCTGATATAGTTAATTCATTGGCTAATTTCAATTGATAAATTTGATAAGAATAATCTTAAAATTTACTTATTATAATTCGGAATAAAAAAGGTGTAGGTTCGTAGTAATTGTGTGGGAATTTAAATTCGTTAATGTTTGTAAATAGTTTAAACTTAATTGTGTTGTAAGGTATACAATTATTCAGACGATCGTGAAAAGTAGGTGTCTGACTTTTACTGTATAAAAAGCACCCCATTTTCCGTCTCTTCTTCCGAGCCAGGCTGCGGTACATCATTGAGCTTGCAATCACCTAAATTAGCACTTTATTATACGGCCTAGGCACAAATGAGGTCCGGTTTGTAGACAAATGATCGATTCTTATGTAAACTTAAACCTACAACATATTAGATAACTAGAAGTATATTAAAAGCCTGTCAAAATACGAATAATTCATTGGTCAACTATGTGTTTTGTTAAGTACAGTTGAGAAGACAGATTGATTTATTTGTTAGGGTGATGTATGAATAACATTTGTGTCCATGTTAATTTAAACTTGTTTGGATATGTATGTTAGTTATGACATAGACTGGCTTTCTCAATATTCCCGAACCTTCCTTGCCTTTAGATATACCAAGGTACTTATAAGTAGATATCAAGATTGTTATCAATAGGTACTGGATATATGTTGCCATTTTCCCTGTACCTATTACCTTGAAGTTTTAATATGTAGTTTTACAAGTAATTTAGTTTTTGATTGTTCATGTGTAGGAAATACCTAATCAAATATATAAAAATTAGTTAAGGTGTCCGTGTTCTGCAGGTGATGACTAAAAAAATTCTGTAGAACTATGTACTAATAGAGCATCTGAAAATGTAACTTTCTTTAGGTAACCTAACCTTCAGCTATTATGAACGTATCGTGACGGTGTCGTATCGTGGCGGTCGTGGCGGTCGTGTCGGTGGTGTCGGTCGTGTCGGTCGTGTCGGTCGTGTCGGTCGTGTCGGTCGTGTCGGTCGTGTCGGTCGTGTCGGTCGTGTCGGTCGTGTCGGTCGTGTCGGTCGTGTCGGTCGCATCGGTCGTGTCGGTCGTGTCGGTCGTGTCGGTCGTGTCGGTCGTGTCGGTCGTGTCGGTCGTGTCGGTCGTGTCGGTCGTGTCGGTCGTGTCGATCGTGTCGGTCGCCTCGGTTTCGGTCGTCGTATCAGTCGCATCTGTCGTGTCGGTCTTGTTGGTCGTAATGGTCGTGTCGGTTTATCGGTGGGATTGTGACGGTCGGTGGTTGGTCGGTTGAGTTAGTCGTGTCGTCTCCACCGGGCGCAGAAGAAGGGCGGATAACGCCCTCTTCCGCCCCCCATGAATGGGTCCAGGGGCGACGGACTTGGGGAAGTCCCCGCCCCCTATCCGATGGATCCGAGGCGAAGGCGCGCGCGGTGTCTACGCGCGCCTCTAAGAGGATGCACGGGGTAGTCGAACACCTCACTACCCCGTGCTAGAGACGAGGCCCGGACAGACCGGGCCAGCACTAGTGTGGGGCTGCGGAAGAATGTGGATTCCCGCGGCCCCGTGCGCACGTGCGAGGAGACACCGGGGTGGTTTTAGCCGGTAAGAGTCCGGCACGCCCCTCCGCCTCTCCCCAGGCGGAGGAAGTCCATGAGGATTTCCCCCCGTAAAAAAAAAAAAAAAGTCGTGTCGTCTCGGTGGGTTCGATGGAAGTGAAGGAAAGTTGTGTAGGTTTTAGTTCGTTAAACTCTGACAGTGCCTCTAGGACACAAATGGAGAGAGAAATCAATTAACAATCACCAATCCGCAGTGAGGAAGCATCGTGATTAATGCTTAAACCTTCTCCGTGTGAGAAGAGACCTTTGCTGAGAAGTTTGTCCTCATACGTGACTTAAAATTGTGGTATTTAGTTACTACGAGTGTAACATTCCATCTCGTCTCACCCAGGGGGTAGAAATACATAAAAAAATTACCTACGCTGCCCAAAAGTTATTGATAGGGGTGGTTTAAATCTGGACACAATAAAAAAATGTGTACCTATATGCTCAATTTTACAAAGCAGTATTTAAGAGATCAGTTCATACCATAAAAATACCACTTGTAAACCTCTAAAATATGTTTGGTCCGGTTATGTAAGTTGCTGTACTCCAGCAACGTGCGCGTCGAGGCCAAGTCGCGCAGCCAACCCTAGTCAGCTGTAGTTTCAGTTCTAGAAGATTCATTGCTTATTGTCAATTAATTTAGTAATAAAAATAGTTTCTATTCAAAAATAATTATCTAACAACAACTTCGGCTTGTAAGTCAGTCTGACGAATAGACATGTGAAATTCTTCTATTCTCATAATATCCATGAATGTAATATTTATAGCAATCCATAGGTATAAGTATTACAAATGTTGAAATCGTAATAAATACTTCTCTATATCTTATAAGAATGTGTTCGTTACACTTCTTTGCCACGTATCATGTGTTTAATGTTTTTAATGTAAAAATTATGAAGTACAGGTTCTTCTAAGAAAATCTTATTCATAGTCTTTGGAGTTTTAGACTTGAAAACCGCTATCCTTATATAATATCCTTTGCTGTATTTCACTACATATCAACTCCATAACTTCTGTAATATATTTCTTTAAGAATCTATATTTATATGTGTATTAATCTAAATAAGTAGGTATCTAAGGCTATAACTGTAAAGAACCAAATATTAGGGGATAGAATAAAACAATCAAATTACAAAATGTACTTTTTACTTATCATTCTTAATTCTTCTTATAAAATATAATAAATCACAGTAACAATGTTATAGATACTTATACTACGAGTACAGCTTAACTATATGATGATAGGTACATTCGTGGGATGAGTATCGTTCGATATGATCATGAAGGTTTGTTTAGCCGCGGAAGCCTTGTTGTTGGAAGCCTTGTTGTTGGAATCCCTGTTGCTGGTAAACCTGCTGTTGTTGCTTAGGCTGGGACTCGATGTACTGGAGAGCGCGAGCGATGGCCTCTGGGATTGGGGGAGGGGTGGGGAGGTGAGCACCCTGGGGCTGGAATCCTGTAGACAAACAAAAGTGTTGTTATATATTTGGTCCAATAAAAACCATTTCTCTACTAGAGGAATCATAAATAGTTTTCAGAAGTACTATTAAAAACAAGAGTGGTAGAAGAAATTATTATAAAATAGGTATGTGTTATAATTAATATGCACATCTTATTTCTTTTCAGAGTGCGAAAGTGTATTATGACCTTGAGTTCAATCAGTTCATTCTTAAACTCATAAACGTAATTGTTTTGACACAGGTGTAAGAAATACGAGTACAATTAACCGCGCTATAATGAAAGAAGAGGTTGCTCTAACGTGCAGATTATGCCGCTTAATTAATTACCCATAACACTTATTTGCAGGATGTTATTTACATCACACGAACGATACCGTAACTAATGCTAGCAGTTAGAACTTGGAACATAAGTATGTAATTTGTATGTTCATATCTGAATGAATAATCAAATAAGCAATGCAAATTACAAATGTTAGTGCAACAATCTTCTTAAAGCATGTGTGTTTTTAGCACATTTGTTTTCTATTTGCGTCATTATTATCTTAATAGGCTTTTACGAATTCTGACTATTAAGATCGAGAGCGTAAAAGGTGTTCAACGCGTACTTTTGGCTAAGTAATAAAATATCGTGAAAAGGGTGTGAAAAACAAATGATAATATTTTTTTTTACAACTAGTGTTGACGGTATTACAGATCTCTAAATAGTTAATGATTAATAGAAATGTAATGTCGCGGCCCACAGGTTAGCGATAAAAGCTTATATAAAACTCCTTATAAAGGAAACACTCAATTCATTTTCAGCTTCCAATTAAAAATAAATTCTTTAAAAGGATAAAACAAATTTAAAGTATAACTATGTTGACCAGTGCGAGTGAATTTAACATTTGGAATAGGTAAGTATTTTGCAACGAACTCTGACCGATTTTGTTTGATTGTGTCTAAAGCTTACATGTGTTTCTTTGTAAATGTTTTGGACGTATGAAATATTTCGGTACATAAACATTATTTTAATATTTAAAGCATGTATTGTTTCTAGCGAGTATTGTTATCGTTTGAGCTTTGACTTGTTGACTTAATACGGTATTGTGACACGAAATAACAAGTAAAATTCCTGTAGCATGTACCTCTTTTCATTTTAGAGAAAAATTACTAATTTTCATTGTTTTCGTGATCTTTTTCTTACATCAAATATAATGAATATTTTGAATATGTATCATTATAGCACTTTAAAATGTGCTTTAAATATAATTAAGTATAAAGGTATGTATTGTTAAAATTAACTTACCGTTCTCGTCAGCGATGTAGGAGACGGAGATAGGGATGCCCTCGGGGGAGGTGTAGGTGAAGGAGCCCTGGGCAACCTGAGCCTCAGCGTCCTTAACACCAGCGTTCTTCAGGTATCCCTGTTCCTGGGCTGCTATACCATTACCAGTCTCGTAACTGTGGAGGTAAAGGAAAAAAATATAAATTGCTTGCGACACTGATCAAAATCTTAGAAACCGCTTAACTTTATGTGCTGCACCCGAATATTCAAGTTTTGTTGTGATTTTAATTGTCAAGAGAAATTATTGAATAGATATAAATAGAAAATTGATATACAAAATTCAGAAAAGAGTAAACAAACAAATGGAGCTCGTCTCCAGATAAAACTAAAAGCCTTGTATGCCTCGTAATTTTAAGAGACATTTTCAAAAGAATAGAATAGTTAGAAATTTCTATTACTAACCAGACTTAGTGCTTGCAAAAGTGGGTACATTGTACAATTACTATACAAAGTTTAGGCTTCATCATGACATGAATATTGAGGTTAAGTGCATTCTTCTTAGGACTTACGAATCAGTCATCGATTGTTGGATAAATTATTTAGTAGATGTGACATAACTATTTCTGCAACTTTGGTATTTAAGTTTTAATGTCCATATTGCAGTAATCTGATAATTAATTAAATAAGTAATATTGACAAAGTTTAGTTAGAAACGCGAATAGTGTTTATAATTTTCGCCATTGTTGAAACAAATTGCAAACTTGTATTTCTTTTTTGGCACCCGTAGCCGAGTTTTGGCGACATTAAAAGATTACCAAAACCACTTCCAAGAATCGACTAATCTTTGTTCAATCTCCAGACACATTTTGCTTATTTTTCTTGTTAATGATAAAGGATTCTATAAATCACTTGGAGCTATAACAAACAAGTCACCCAGAGCTCAAGGCGCACACACTCGGAAAGATCAAAACTAATGATTTGTTTCACCAAAACGTTTTCAGGTCATGCAATCATGATGCATTGTCAATCTATTGCTCTTGGGAATCTAAAATCTTTTGTTAGCGTGCAACGTATGGTGATTTCTTACAACACTCTTTTGTTGAACCTGACATTTGCGAAAAAATATGAAACGAACGTAATTATTATGTCATTTGAAAGTTCGCAAATTAATTCTGCATTTGATTTCTATTTGATATCGACATATTTTGATGGAAGAGGTAAACAAAGGTTTTAATAAGTTTGAAATGATTTTGATAGACGGCATGTGACCTGTTTTATTAATAAAGCTTGCACATGCATGTAGGTGAATCAGAAATATCAATGTATTCATGCACCTCTATAACACCTGAGCCAATTTGTTGCGTAATTAGGGCTTGGCAACGAATGCTTGCACAGATGCGTCCCACAAATTAAGCATTTAACACACTCGACACTGAAGGAATGTCCATACAAGATTATCATCATAGCTTGTTTCACAACGGTGTGGTGACTGCCATGAATATCGATTTAGGGTTCATCAATAACAACAATAACTTTTAATTAAAGTAAACCCTTGTTAAAATAAGTATCTTGGATTTCATCAGGCAATTATGATTTCAATCTTTGAACTGTTAAGTCACATTACTTTAATTTGTGTTGATTGGTTTGTAAACAATCGTACCTACCAACAACATTTTAAAAGCTACATATTCAAAATTATGTTTAATACTTTTACAGCCATGACTAATTGTGCAGCCTTCATAAATCTTGGTGCCAGATTCAGAAGATATATTTTTACGGGACATAATTTAATCTCACAACAATAAAATGTCTGATAACAAATGATGATGCGTCAAGGTATTTCGTGTCAGACTTTGTACATTGTAAATAATACTTACTTGTATTGGTAGGAGCCATCGAAGCCGACCTCTTGGGATTGTTTGATGATGGGAATTACTTGGCCTT